AGCCATCTCTCCAGCCCCTAGCTTTGTTGATATATAATTTATACACTATATAATTTACCCACTTGCCACATACAATTCACTTGTTTTATTCTATTTAAGAAGCATGCAATTATAGTCACAATCAATTAGGCAACATTTTCATCACCCCTAAAAGAGCCCTGTATCGTGTAGTGGTGCTCGCCTTCTGCCCCGCCCCGCTGTCCCATCTTGGGCAACCAGGGATGTGCTTTCTGTCTCTACAGGAGCTGTCTAATCTGGGCATTTCACACAGATTGACTCACACCATATGTGCTGTCTTCTGTGAGTGGCTCCTTTCATTCACTTCTATGAGTGTGATGGCCCGGCATTTCTTCCTCTTCTTTGTGGAAGAGTATTCTAGTGCACAGATGGACCATGTTTTATTTATACTTGTGTCAACTGAGGAACATTTGGGTTTCTTTTTACTTTTTGGCTATTATGAGTATTACGATGAACACCTATGCACAATTTTTCTGTGTAGGCACATGTTCTTATTTCTCTTAGGAGTGGAAATGGTGGATTATATAGATTATAATATCTCTCTTGAGAAACTTCCAGATTCTTTTCTCAAATGGCTGTATCAGTTTTCTTACAGGCACTATATGAAGACCAGAGAGATTTAATAAAAATGTAAAACTGTTCATAAAAGTTTTCTACTTCATAAAGTTGTAGGATTCTTCATTAGATATTTTTCTTACAAGAAAATATTGGGGCCAGGGAGATGGCTCAGTGGAATAAGTGCTTCCCTGGCAAGTGCAAGTGTCTGAGTTCAATCCCCGGTTCTGCAAAAAAAAAAAAAAAAAAAAAAAAAAGAAAGAAAAACAAAATATTGTCTAGGGGCCAGGGAAATAGCTCAGTAGAATAAGCGCTTGCCTGGCAAGCACAGGGTCCTTTCATATTTAGTACTATGGTGAATCTTGAATTTACTTTTGTGCCCAGAGTAATGTGAAGATTGAGGGTAATTTTCTTCCTGTACTGCATCCAGTTGTCAAAATACCAAATTTTCTGTTTCCCTATGGAAGTGAATCAGTGCTTTAGT